GTCTGTGACACCACCTAACCTTCCTTTTTCATAGAGGCTGTATTATGTTCTAAGAAGAGGGTAGCATCAGTGGGTATTAAGCTCCCACCTCTACAACTGTTCTACATAATTGATCTTCATATGAATGAAAGTCCTAGACACTTGTGTTACTGTCATCCTTTTTTCCAGGTTCATAGGGTTTCTGAAGGCAAGCTATTTATGGAAGTGGATGCTGCTCCTGCTTGCAGGCTTGTTTTAATTGGGGAACGCCACCAAACATTGTCCACTATGGGTAACCATTTTCACATTTGACACGTCAGTGTCACAGTGTTCAGCTCCACAGCGACCACAAGTCACCTCTGTACGGCAAGTGGGCACACCAGGGCACACCAAAAACCAAAGACAGGCCTTAGGGCCGCCGATTAGAGTCACCCACCTTTGACTTGGTTGCATCGCTTTCAGTCGCCTAGGCCAACTGGTCTCTCTCTCTGTGTTAAGTGCCGTTGAGTTGTAGATGACTCATAGCGACCCTATGAACGAAAGTCCTCAACACTTGAGTGACTTTCATCCTTTCTCCAGGTTCATAGGGTCTAGAGGCAAGCTATTTATGGAGTGGATGCCACTCCTTCCAATTTTAGTCCTAGTTTATATTAAGATTCTTTTAATAAATTAATGTGAATAATATAGAATACCATGAAAGCATGCCTCTGGAAACTCTGTGAACTTTGATAAACGGCGATGGTTGTGGAAGGACTTCAGGCTTTTTTTTTTGGGGGGGGGAGTTAAAAGGATATAATTCAGATTAATAACAAAATATAGCCAAGACATCTCCCAAAATGTATGTGCAGGGACCTCAGTCTCAAGCTTTGGGATGTTTCCAAGTTCTCATTCCTGCCAGTATTGGCTTTCCACCCCCAGTTTCCCAACAAAGTTCTCAGTTCTGCCACTGTTGGCTTCCCTCACCCCCAAAAGTCCCATTTTACATCAGTTCTCCAGTTCAGCCATTGCTGCTGCTGCTACTGCTGCTGCCGCCGTCCCAAAGCAGATCCTCCAGTGTGTCCTACATTTCACTGGATTGAGGGAAGTCATCTTCCTCTTCTGGAAGGGGAAGAAGTTCTTTTGGTGGGGGAAGATTTCTTCTGTACAGACTTCAGGCTTTTTTGTTCATGGGGTCACTGTGAGTCATGCTCGACTCAATGACAGACAACAACAAAGGAAAATTATTTAGCAATATAGGATAATTAGATTATAAGGATTAAGATTTTAATACTTTA